CACAATGTACAGAAATCCTCCTAAACACGTTCAGAAGATCCTGTAAAACTGCAAATGCCCTACATCTTCAGAGCCACAGCAGGGCTCACCAGGATGCGATAGAAAAGCATTGTTTGCAGCCAAATGACGAGGTTTGCTGCACTGGATGCTACGCTCTCCCAAAGGTGCTAAGCAGGAGGAAGAGGGGCCCCCCACCCAGGACAGGGGCTGCAAGCCCCCGGCAGCCGGAGGGCCTTCCGAGGGAGACCCCAAAATCGCAGGCACAGGCTGCTTTCCACACTTCATGTCCAAGGTCGACACTGACAAGCCACCCCATCTTTTTCCTGAGCAGCACCTCCATTTCCGAAGCCCACGTGAGTCACAATAACATTGGCATTCAACTTTCTGCCGTGGGTTTTGGGTGTGTTTTTTTTTTCCTGTGTTGTTTTAGTGGAGAACTCAATAGAACATGAACAAATGTATTTGTATTTCAGCAGTTCAGTGGAAGGGGGTCATAAAAAAGTTATGTAAAACAGAGAATTTTTTTTTTAACTTTTAAGTCACTTAATTTTGTGTGGTCTGGGCTTTCATGAGAGTAAAATAGCGCAGCCTCCCTAATCCAACACCCAAGCAGATTATCGGCTGCTTCATAAAAAAAAAAAAAAAAAAAAAAAAAAAGAAAAAGAAATAAAAAAAAAGGCATGAATATCTTGAATTTCACCAACTACACAAAAGACTTGCATATGTCAAAATGCCGGACGAAAAGTCCCCGTGAAGGTAGCGCCATTAATCAAACCTCCGATCTGGTGTCACTTTTGCCAGTAAAAAAACGATGCTGTCCCCCCACCCCCACCCCCATCGCCAGCTCCTGCGAGAAGTGTGTCCCCCGGCTTCCATGTGCCTCCAGATAGCCTGGTCTCCGCACTTCCCATCCTCGCCTTGGGAAAACCACTGCTCAGGGGAGGCAGTCCACGCGAGGCTCGTCTCGGGGAGGGGAGAATGGGGGGCAGATCTCAACGGCGCTTGGCTCCCTGGGAAAGAGAGGTTTGTGGGGGGGGGAGCACGGGGTGGGGGCAGACACAGGACACACGGGACTCCAGACCCGATCGTCGGTACGTAAAGAATGCTCCGGAGTGACAAAGCCATTCCCGGAGCAGCTGGGTGACACAGACGTGCATCGCTGGCATTCTCCTGTGCCCTCACCCCATTAAAAAAACATGGCAGCGTCCCTCTGGCTCACACCCGCTCCAGAGGACCCTGCTCGGTGGCAGCAATAACTTGACCGTGTGGCACAGGGCAGCGTCCCCAAAGCGTATTTCTTCTCCCTTGTCCTCCCAAATGTGGCACCGCATTCAACCGAGCGGCCAAGTCCTTGGAGAGTTTCAGCTGAAGGCAGGACCCAACCGGGCAGCCAGGGGAGCCTTCCTGGAGCCGCAGGAGACAGTCCCCAAAAGTCAAGAACCTCCACTTCGCCCTCCCCCATAGACACATATTTTTTTTTCAAGCTTTGTCATATCTGTGGTCTGTACTGAGTTACAGCTTGTGAGACACCCCCAAGTTCCAAGGCACAGGGTTGGGGATTTCTACAGCGAGTGTTTTTAACGGTTTCTGCAGGCCAGAGGCCACTGCCCAGCCCCGGGCGGCCAGGTGACGGGGCCGCTTCATGTCTGAATTGTCAGATAAGCCCGCTGCTGCGCTATGCTTACCACCGGCTCGACTCAAACATTAAACGAAGTAGAGAAATCATCAGATAAATTGCCGGCCCTCTGCGCGGAAGAGGGAAGGCTCCTCCGGCTGATGACAGCGCTCGGCTTTTGTCTGACCTAATTTATTTCTCTTTCAGGTTCGCATAAAGCACACTTTCCTGTCGCAGGGCAACCTCTTCTGCCCAGATACTGAACTCAAGCACAAGACTCGGGGTGAACTGTGCTGCCTACAGATTTCTTCAACTTGAAGACGAAGCCATCATAGATGCAGAAATGCTGTGATCAAAAGCACACACACACACACACACACACACACACACACATTCCCCAGCACCAGACCGCACATGAAGGGAGACATGGTCCCTTTAAAAGCCATCCATTGCGAGCCCTGTTTGGGGTGAAAGGGGTTCACAACGTAGGGTCTAGCAAGCATACCCTCCTTCTGAACAAAGTTTCACGCGTTATTTGAGTTGGCATTTTATTTCTTTGGGGAATAATGCCCTGTCCCTTAGGACAGTGGGAACAGAACCTAATGAATGGAACTGAGAGTCCAAGCGTTACCAAACCTGAGCTAAAAGGACTTCCACTCATCAAGCCGTCTTAGGTACACGACTCCCCAAAGCAGTGGTTCTCAGCCGTCCCCCGCCTCTGTGACCTGCAGCCTAGGAAGGGACAGCGTGATCCACACTCCTCCCAGACCCCCCTCCCCCCGGGTCAGGCATGCCTCGGAGCCGAGGGGGATTCTCAGAAAAGTCAAGACCACAGACTAGTCTGGGGGGAACGCACCATTCCAAACTAACCCTTTTAATTGTTTGTTTTTAAAAAAAAAGAGAAAGAAAATAAAATTGCCCCCACCTGCCAAGGGAGGGCTTGTAAATCAATGCTGATCGCTTGGAAATAGATTTCTCAAACTTATACTCTCATTCTGCCCGGCCCGAATCTCTGCAGGAAAATCAATATTACAACTTCACACTTAAGACATTTTTGCAGCCACGTAAAGGGCCTCAGCCGCCTAAGGAAGCCCATTCCTCGCCATTGTAGCCAAGGCGTCCAGACATGACACGGGCGCCGAGCGCCCCCTAGCTGCCTAGTGGCGCCACGCGCGTCTCGGCGCCTCAGGCTTGTCATCCATCCACCAGAAGCCAATGCAACTGAAAGTTTATTTTGGAAAGTCTTTTATCACAACAAGCACCAGAGATTGCAAAGCGATGGAGAAGGGAGATGAAAAGAGAAAGGGGACGGCTGGTGCAAGCCGTGTTCTCAGCGAAAAGGCCGTGCCAAGAGCCCGGTTCTGATAAGACGCTGGAAACCGGCGCACTCCACAGTCGGAAACGGATATCTGTGTAAAGGGGCCGTTTGGCCTGCTCCATCTCACGGAGACATTATGCTAATTATTGTCAAAGGCGCCCGCAGCTGGCCGTTGCACAGTGGTCAGCAGAGCCGCGCATCCACCCCTCGGCCCTCAGCCTCCCTCCCTGTTCCTGAGGCCGGGTTCACCAGAGCGAACTGCATTCACTCCAGCAGTTGAGAAATGACTCGTTTTCTGTTATGAAATATCTTGAAGGCCAGACAAAAAATCACCAAGGCCAGAGCACAGGCAGATAGCGACTACTTCCCCTCAAAAAAGAAAAAGAAATAGGCATCTGTACATAATATTCGGGGGGGGGGGGAGAAAACCTTTAAAAATATTAGGGGTTGTTAAAATATGCTCACGGCTGTTTTCGCTCAGGTGTGAATTACAAATGAATAAAATCAGCCCGGCATCACACCTTTGACGAACACATTTTATTCTCCCGTGGAATCAGAGCAGCTGACTTATATCACACTTCTAATGATATGGGGTTTCCTTCTGTGCAGAAGGGAGAGAGACTTCACTCCCCCTACCAGCTAAACCCCCCCCCAAAAAAAAGAGGGGCCTATAGCTTATGACAGTGATCAGAGGCCCAATTTTGAAAGATCGGCGGACAACTGGAGATGTATGACCATACCCTGGAGGGTTACGATCCTGGTAAGCACCGCCACCTTCCAAACAGACAGCTACAGCAAAGCCTAATGCCAAGGCACCCGTGGAACTCACACAGCAGAACTTCGGAGTCAAATCTTGGGTCTCTAGTTGTTTCACAAAATCGTGAATTCTCGTGGAAAACGGCTCATCTCCCACAGAAACCTGTTGGTGGGCTGTTGAGATCTCCCCTTTCCTGGGGTGATGTGATGCACCGCGGGCATCTCAGTTTCTTGGGAAACCTCAACTCCTCATGGACGGGTGCTCGTGCCCTGCCTCTCACCCTGGGTGGCACCACAGGCTCAAGGCCCTTCCCTCGGCCTGCTCACCCCGGCCGCTCTTCCTCCCCTCTTCACTATTGTCACTGCGTTGTTTTGCGTTTGTTTTTAGATTAATCGCTGTATCTGTCCTCCGGTTTGAAAAGCCATCTCCATCTGGGTCAAACATTTTGAAACAAACCAGAAGCCCAGGTTTTCATCCCCAGCTGTCTCCCACACTCCTCATACCTCCCTCCGCTTCTCACGGGTCCTGTCTGCAAATGTAACCAGCTCATCATGGAGCCCTTCGACTCCCCCCTCGACACCCCAAGGTTATCCAGGCTCTTTCTGTGCTCTTGGTGTTTCCCAGACCATCAGTTCTTCCTGGGCTGCATCCTTCCTGAAGAACCCACGGCTGCTGCTCCCCAGGCCGGCCGGCTGCCCCCCAACCGAAGCTGTACCACGCTGTAGGTGGTTCCTTTCACATTTAAAATCTAAAATGTGAACTCCAGGTGGGGGCTGTGACAGCACCCATTTTGCTGGCCAGGGCTCCAGCGCACCTCCCGGCCATGCCCCCAGCATCGTGGAGGGACACAGGCACAGACCGGTGCAGCCTAAACTGCACCCAGTTCTGGCCTTTCCCCAGCCTGGACTCCCACCTCCCGGTGACACAGGACAGACAGAAAAGCCAGCTGCTTGTGGATAATAAATAGCCTTGTCTGCAAACTGGTTGGGCCACTCTCCCCGCTTAAACCCCTGCACATGCTTTGGACGCCCTGTGCCCTGAGAGGCAGGCGGGATACCCTTTGCCCTCTCGCCTCCTCGTCCCCACCTCCCTCCTCCTTTTCCCTCCCTGCCACGGCTCCCGCGCTGGCTTTCCCCAGCACCGCTCTGAGCACGGCTAAGAGAGACTCAGAACAAATGAAACATGGAAGGATGTCGCACCAGGCACCCCTGGCCCCCTCACCCAGCTGCCTTCAGTCCTCCTGGTCCGGGCTTTCTCCCCGAAGCCCAGGAATGCCAGAAAGGGAGCCAGCAAAAGCCAAGCAAACCTACCTGCTTCTTCCCCCTGACACACAACTGCAAATACGCCCGGCTGCTTTTTAGAAGCTGCTAGCTTAGCAATGCACCCCCACGACTCCCCCTTTCCCAGACCCCCCACCCCAACTTTCCCCTCCTCAAAAACAACTCTTGCCATTATTCAGAAGCTGTGTGGGGCAAATTGCCTCCTGGAGAGATTAGGCATCTGCAAGTACAGACATTCTAACCACCACTCCACTATCTGTCTAAAGGTGGGGGGTCAGGGTGAGAAGCAATTGATTATCCTTAAAGGGCACAATGTCAACTGGCAAAAAGGAGGATCTGGGTCAAGCCAGGCTCAAATCTGGTTGCAAAACATTTTGTTTTAAATGCAACCGGGAAGTCCTCTTTCAGGTTAGAATGGTGCAAAATAAAAGAGACGTCCTCGTCCTTCCCTCCAAAGGCACCCCTCTCCCAAGGCGAACCCCACATTGATATCTATTACCTTCCACCCCCCCCCAAAAAAATAAGAATAAATCCACAATTCTTACTAAGGTATCTGCTGTAACAAAGGAGAGATGGCAGCAGCAACTGCTCCGAGCAGATGGCTCCTATGCTGGGTATTCAGGGGAGGGGAGAACCCCTTTATATATATATATTTATTTATTTATTTAAATT